GAGCGCACTCGACTATGCCGCATCGGTTCTGTGCTGACGCGAACCGCTTTTTCAGGTTTATGAGCCGGTTCCAAAAAGAACGGGTTAAGTCAGCAAACGGCTGCAGCTGGATAGATCGCTCGATAGTGTCGCATCGGTTCCGTGCTGGTGCGAAGTGCGCACCGCTGTTACGGTTTTATGAGACGGTTCCAAAAACAACCTTTTAATCGGCAAACGGCTACAGCTGGTGCGAAGTGCGCACATCTGTTTCGACACGGTTTAAATTGGCAAACGGCTGCAGCTGGATAGATCGCTCGACGGTGTCCGAAGTGCACACCGCTATTTCGGTTTTATAAGACGGTTCCAAAAAAAAAACGGTTAAATTGGCTAGCTGTAACTACAGTTTCAGGTTACACGTTTGGAACACTGTTATTTTAGCGGTTACGTTAAATACCGACCATCCCTACTGCATACCCAATAATTGCGGACACTGAAGTTTTTTTAACAAATTTGCAGCTGAAACAAGACCAGATATAGGGTGTTTCCTATATTTGTATAAGCCGTTTTTCCTATATTACGTTTTAAAAATTAGTACACACTTGGAGTGTCAAATTTTTTAAGTCATAATGACAGTTTCAGGAATTTTTTTTCCCATTTTTCGACACACTTACCAATGTTGACGAATTTTTTTGCCCCACCTATCAATATCCCTATTATTGTAATGCAAAATTTCATGCACTTTTGAATGGTGATTTTTTCAAGGTCATCCGTCTAACTGTCAATTTTTAAACAATTTTCAAACACTCAACTAGCAAAATTTGCAATTTCTTTAATTTGACATATCTGTCAAATGGTTACCCCGATCACATCGTGAAGATCTCATTAATTATTCTCAAGGTCATCTCGATTTTTCACATTTATGACATTGGCAGTTGCATTGTCCACTGTCACTCGGCACACTTGATTTTTTGTCGATTTTCGACAGTCCGCCAATTGGATAACTGTTCAAGTTCAAGTCAATGTCACCATCCGATTTATCTTGTCATTTCACATCTTGCCGAATACCATTTTCATTGACAGGCGCAAACGTCAATAAAAAAAACAATTTCATCACTTTTTTTTCCTCTTTTTCCCTTTATCTCTCAATTTCCCTCGCATATTTAATCTTTTTTGACACTTCCAATGACGTTCTCTTTACACGTTCCTCTGTCCCACAAGTACGAGCACGTGAAAAAAACGGCGAAAATACCATTCAGACCAACCGCCTGCCGCCCCTCCTGTTACTAAAAAAAAAAGAGTCCAAAAATCGAAAAACCAAATTTGCTGGTAAACCCTTTAAAAATTAGATCTTTCAATTTTTGGACTCTTTTATACATTTAATATGCTTTCTCATCAATTATGCTTATTTCTTTTCATCTTTGAGGTTTTAATATAACAATTCTTTAACATTTTGCAGCTTTAAAATATTCACACTACCAAATGTATGTTTATAAACGACATGTGTTTGTAATACACGCATCGTCAGTTCGCATCAGTTTGTTCTTTACAAAGTGATTTCCATTTCTTCAACAATCGTCATAGAATATATCAGACTTGCTGTACATTTCGCCTATTTCCATATTATAATCGTGATTTTTTGCCCGTGCGTGAAGTTTGCCTTTTTTATAGATTTTTTGATAATCAAATTCTTCTAATTTGATTCGCCATCGCACTAGCTTTGAACTTCGATCTTTTAACGAGAACAACCATTGCAAGGGTTTGTGATCGGTTATAATATTAAATTTTCGGCTAAATAGATACGGTCTAAAATGTTTGGTTGCCCAGACAAGACATTCCTTTTCAATCGTTGAATATTTTTGCTCGGAATCGTTAAGGGTTCTAGACGCATATGCAATAGGGAGGTCATGACCAATAGGTCCTTGACTTAGAATGCATCCAAGGGCGACGTTGCTTGCATCACAAGTGAGATTGAAGGGTTTATTGAAGTCGGGGTATTGCAAAATTGGTTCGTTAATAAGTAGATTTTTACATCTTTCGAAACACGATAGAAATTCTTCATTGTGGATTATTTTGGCACCTTTTTTCAAACATTTGGTTATGGGTTTGGTAATTTGGGCAAAGTTGTTGATAAATCGCCTATAATAACCGAGAAGGCCTAAAAATCCTTTGATTTGCTTGGTAGTTTGAGGAATTGGGTAATTTTTTACAGCACTAATTTTGTCAGGATTGGGTTTTACTCCTTCTGGGGTAACGATGTGACCTAAGTA